TGAGCGGGGCCCGGCAGGGACAGGCCGCGGGGCGGGAGGGGCGGCTCGGGGCAGGCTGCGTCTGCCTCACCTCGGGTTCCCCGCTGCGGCTCCCCAGCATCTCCTCGTCCCGCAGCCCCATCGCCACTCAGCTCCAGGCTCCGCCGCCGCCGCGCAGAAGGACTCGCCAGGGTCACCCGCCGGAAACCCCGCCCCTCCCGTCCCCCCTCTCACCCGGAAGCGGAAGCCAGGCTCTCATGACCCTCCCAAGATGGCGGTGCTGCCCGGAGCTGTTTTTCTCTGTGCGCCCGGCCCGCCCCTAGAGTGCTCGTCTGAGTGAGGGCGGCGGGGGCTGCCATGGCGGCCCGGGCGGAGGGAGAGGCCGCTGCTGGGAGCCCCCCCAGCCTCTTCGAGCTGAGTGGGGTGGTGGTGAGCTCCGCCATGGGGACCCTGGAGAGAGAGGTTTGGGGTAAGGGGGGCGCGGGGGTCCCAGGCCTGTCCCCGGGGAGCGGGGCGCTCAGGCCTGCGCCAGTGCGGGGGGGGGGGGCGGAGTCCTAGGCCTGTCCCAGTGCCATGGGGGTGTTTCACCTCTGTCCTAATGCACTTTGGGGGATGGGGGGAGGGATAGCTCAGTGGTTTGAGCGTTGGCCTGCTAAACCCAGGGTTGTGAGTTCAATCCTTGAGGGGGGCCACTTAGGGATCTGGAGCAAAATCAGTACTTGGTCCTGCTAGTGAAGGCAGGGGGCTGGACTCGATGACCTTTCAAGGTCCCTTCCAGTTCTAGGAGATAGGATATCTCCATTAATTTATTTTATTTAATTTATTTATATATATATGTGTGTGTGTTGGGGGCGGGTCCCAACTTAGGGGGATGACACAAGTGTTTTGGGGAGAGGCGGGGGCCCCAGGCCTGTTCCAATGCAGCGTGTGTGGTGGGACCCGAGTTAGGTATGAGACATCTGTGATGGGAGCACATTGAGCGCTGAGTGCCCCAGAGTTACCAGGACAGCTCCATGCCCAGGGGCTTTGTCAGGAAGGTTTGATGCCTATAAGGCATCCCTGTGAAACCTGACTGGACCAACTTGTGCATGGGTGCAATGGTGATGGGTTCTTGTCTCTGCTTTAAGTGCAAGTGCCCAAATGCACATTTATGTGAACATAATCCATGCACCAGAGTGTTACCCTATTGGGAACTTCAGTCTCCATTTTATTTTGTTGTCTTTGAAAACCTTTTCCACCTCTCAGACTTATAAAGCATTCTGCATCTGTTCTCTTCCCCCATCCCAAAGCACTCCCTGGACAGATACTCCAAGGCATCCTGCCTTTGCTTAATATCTATTACCTGGAAAGGATTGAGGAAACTGCTGTGAAAAAAGGTCAGTTTTATTTATAGAAATTTCTTCTCTAAAGTTGAAGGGTTGTTTGGTCTCCACTGACCATTTGGTTCTTGGCCTCTCTGCTGAAACTGTCAACAAGGAATAGCAATTACTATCTGCTACAAGAAGTGTTTTGGTGTGGACGCTTTCCCTAAATGGAACTGGATTTAGAATGTCAAATACATTCCTTATAGAGCACTGAACAGCATTAAAGATAATGATTTTCAGTGACTGCTAACCATGGCTGATGAATAACAATGAGATTAATAATAATATTAAAAGGGGCTGATGGTATCTGATACATCCAGTCTGTTTAAATAGATGAGAATTCAGTGAAAATCCCTAATGTATAGTTTTTAAAAGATACCATCAAGTCAAATTTCATCCCAAACTTTGGCTTTCTAAAAAATGACATTTTCAGTTCCTAAGACAAGAAATACTTAGTATATTTGATTGTTTAAATTCCACTGGAAATAGTTTTGTAAAAAATAACACTGCCTGCAATATTTGCAATCCAAACATTGCTGCTTTTTGCTTCTATGTAAGTATTCAACAGTGAAAATTATTATTTAGTGTCCAAAATGAGGAATACTAAAAGTACATAGGCAGGATTAGTACAGAAAAGTTTAAATTAATTTATAATAATTAATTAGATTACCAAAACTAAAAGAATAACAATCTGATTTGTAATAGGTAACAGGGGAAAAGATGATTTTTGTACGAAATGTCTTTTAAAATATTATTTTAACCTCATAGTGCCTCTTTAGCAACCATAAAATGTGTCATTTCTTTTAAATCAGTATCGATCTACTGCCCTAAATGTTCTCCAAAAAATAGTATTTGATGACTCATGTTTCTAATCTTATTTGTTTTAAATTAACATCATTGTGAAACCCGAGAAGGGAAAATTGAGTAAACCTTTTGAGATAGAGGATTCAGTGTAAAATTGTTTGTTTTTCAGGACTCTCAACCCAGCCCATATGGCACAAACTCTGGAACGATGTGATGAAAATCAGACCACCCAAGTCAGAGGTGAGTTGGAAAGCTGCTGATGGACCAATTTAGAAAGGACACAAAGTTTACATCTCAATTTTGCAAACACTTATGCATATTTTTCACTTTGAGCATGTGAATAATTCCATTGATTTGAGTGAGACTACTGAAGTGTCTAAAGTTAAACATGTGTAAATATTTACAGGATCAGGGATTAGGATGTTACCCTGGTATTCAAAACTTTCCATAAAACACCTTATCTTGTACTTATATAGAACTTTTCATCCAGAAGGATGCTATAGCACTTTGTGGGCTTAATATATTAGGATGAAGCCCACTACTGGAGTGTATGCATGTGTGCTGTACATTTTGGGCCTCACAAAGAAGGTGCATGGAATTGGGATGAAAATAAATTTATTTTATTCTGATTTTATTACACTCTAGGAAGGTCTTACATTTAAGAACCAAGAATGTAGGTCATACTTATAGGATGAGGGACTGTATTTTGGAAAGCATAGTTCAGTAAGGGACTTGGGGGCCATGGTGGATAGCCAACTAAACATGTGCTCACAGTGTAATGGGGTGGCTAATGGAACAAATGTAATCCTTGGATATATAAGTAGGGGAATGTTGAGTAGAAATAGAGAGGTGTTGTACCCACTGTCTATGGTGTTACTGTGTCCAGTTGTGATATCCATACTTTAAAAAGGTTGTTGACAAATTGGAAAGTGATCAGAAAAGAACTACAAGAATGATTTGAGGTCTGGAAAACTTCCCTTTGAGCCTCTTTATTCTCTCAATCTATCTGTTTAGTTTAACAAAGAGAGGGTTAAGAGGTGATTTGATCCTGGTCTATAAGTACCTGCTTGGGGAGAAGATTTCTGATAGTAGAGTGCTCTTTAATCCAGCAGACAAAGGCGTAGCAAGATCAAACAGCTGGACGCTGAACAAATTCACAGTAGAAATAAGATGCAATTTTTTTTTTACTAGTGATTGTAACTCTCCATTGGAACCAATTTACTAAGGGACAGGGTGAAGTCTCCATCATTTTGTCTGTAAATCAGTATTGGATGTCTGTCTAAAGAGATGTTCTAGCTCAGCTAGAAATAACGGACTTTTGATGCAGGAGCCACTTGGTGCAATTCTGTGTCTTGCGTTATATAGGTGGTCAGACTAGACGATCATAAAGGTCCCTTCTGGCCTTAAAATTCTTGCCCCTATCTCTGTTATTGCCGTGTGGGTGCTACCTCCAGATGCCCCGGTTGTAAAGCCTCTGCTGTGCAGATGTTGGAGTAAAGACGCATGGGGAATAAGCTGTTGAATTAGAACCCTGAATGATTAGGGAGTACAATATGTCGGTAAGCCTGATTCTGATACCCTGAGCCCTCCCACTGATTTTAATTAAGACCTTCAATGCTAGTTGACGGACTACGGTACTTTTCAGGATCAGAACCTTAGCTGGTGTCAAATGCTGCCTTGCAACATGGAATCCATGTGGCACAGGCTGTGGCAGTGTAAGCTTGTTTACCACCAATATCCCCCCAAACTTTCCTGAAGGGACTGCCTGTTGGGATGAGAGGGTATTTCAGTCTCCATGGCACATCCTTGACCTCTAGAGACTGATGACCACTGGGAAACTAGTGGAAGTGGTGGTTTCTGTGATACTGACTGAAGCCACTAAACACTTGTCAGATGATAACAACTTATGGTCACTGTTGACCTGGATAGAATCTGAATTAGCATCCTAGGGTGAAAGTCCACTCTCTCTTTCCCAGTGTGTTCTTGTTTAAATGAGGATAAAATCCATTAATTCTGGGATTTTATTACAGAACATAACAAGTTGGAGGAAGAAGTTCCTTGAAACTTTCTTCTCAAATGTCCTGCATGGAGTTTTGGATGTTTCTTCAGATCAGCGCCTGAGTGACCGTCGTTTTTCACCCCTACTCCACAGCTCACGGCATGTTACGCAGCTCACCATCTGTAACATGCTGCAGGGGGTAGCAGAGCTCACTGCTGAGCCCAACCAAAGAGTGCTAGAAAACCTGGCTGGCTCATTGAGAACCTTGAAGTTCCATCTGCTGACCTCCGATCTGTCCATTAGACATTCACTAAGTTTGCTGCTTCATCATCTGATCCACCATGGAGCTGTCAGCCAGGTGTCCATGTGTTCCTGGCCAGTTCCTGACAAAGTACTTTTAGTCCTTATTCTGAGTATGAGTGCTGGGTTTTGGCACCCAGGTAAGACACTTATGCACCAGGACAGCCCTTGCAGTCTTTGCAGAGAGGAGTCTGATGCCCAAGGCCTGCTAACTCAAGAGGATGGTGCCCTGCTAGGGTCAAATCAGCTGTGCTGCGGGTCTACTGAGCAATCAGAGACTGGCCAGTGGGGTGATAGTGAGTCAAGAAGCAAGAAGGTCCAAACTGCTTCAGCCAAAGTGCTTGAAGAAGCTGATCCAGATTCTCAAGTGTCTATAGAACTGTCCAGGAGCAGTAGTGGCACTGTTAAAACTCCAATGCTCTGTGGATTAAGGAGCCACCCTTTGCAAAACCTAGCATGTCAAGATGTAAGCTGCGAGGTGCCCCCTGAGTATTACAACATTAAAGGAGAGTCTTCTCCTTCTCTACCAAAAAGGTCTTCTGTTGGCCCCGCTTTCCGAAAGCCCTATAGACGGTTTAAGACTGCAGTGGGGAGGAAGCGCCGCAGCCCCAGAAGAAACCGCAGAGCTCATGCAGACCCGGAAGATCTTTATGATTTTGTCTTTGCCGTTGCTAGGGAGGAGGAGGAGACGGCAGAGTCGCTCTATGAAAGCAATGCCCAGGAGGGGGAAAGCATTGATGGCTGGGCCTCTTCCCCAGCAGACACTCCTAGCTTTGAGGGTGTGGGCTGCACGGAAGGAGGCTCTGTCGGAATCCTTCCTCTGAAAGCGGCTTGCCGCTTCCGAAGTATCTCCACGCTGGAATTGTTCTCCATCCCTCTGACTGGGGACACCTGCCGGGCTTTGGGGAACCTGCTGAGCTCTTGGGTATCTTTAGAGAAGCTGGTTCTGTCTTACAATGGTTAGTAGTAATAACAGAGCTTTTAATTTCAGGTGTGTTTGACAATCTGGTTTCTGACTGTAGCCAAATTCTAAAAACTGCTAAGATCTGCACTGGAATTTTGGTTGGGTGGAACAGACATTATTGGGCACTCTTCAACTCACCCTGAAAATATAGGTAGCAAGGACGCTTCAAACCATGCCAGGCTTTCTTTAAGTAGGGAAAGAAGCAAGGGAAAGCTGGTCAGCAGCAACTGGGCTTAAAATCTGAGGGGTGTGTCTGTGTTAGAGGAAAAGGTGCCAAGATGCAAGTAGAGAATAATGAAGAGGATACAAGCTGTGAGAGAAGGGAAAGGAAGAAATGGACAGAGAGAGACCTTCTACTGTGTACAGCACAATGGGGCTTTATTCTTGGCTGGCCCTTAGGCACCACTATATTATCCATCATTAATATTAAGAGTTTAATATTTTAATGGGGTCCAGAGGGGATTCTTCACCGCACAGTTAAAACATCCCGTAACATTTTTTTGTTCCTGTAACTTTACTTTGGAGAAGGAACTGGGAGGTAAACCCATCAGATTAAAGGGACAAATGAGTCTAACTAGGAGTAGTGGGGGTGAGACAGAGCAAAAGGATAACTTCCTAATGGTGAAGTCTGATAGACCCTGATCCTCCAGACTTTTGCATGCAGGCAGATTCCTGCACCCACGCTGAGCTCTACAGAAATCAGTGGAGTTCCGTGTGGGGGCGGGTTACAGGATAAGAGCCTTAGATTATAGAATAGTTCCCGAAAGGAATTGTCGGAACCCCATCACTCAGAACATTGCACTGGGCTGGATACAGCTCTGCTGCTAAGAGTTCTGCTCTGGCTAGTGGAAATGGACAAAGTGACCTAGTCAGTCTTTTATATTTAACGTTGTCAATATGTATGAAAGACGGTGGCATTCTTAAGAAGTTGCCTAGAGTTAATCACATATTTTACTAATCAGAGGCCATCTAGTCCATCCCTGAAGTGCAAGATTGTTCCCTGTAATTTATTGTCTAGTGCATTGTCCAGTTTTAAATTACTAAAGTGATGGCTTCTACCTCTTCCCTGAGGAGACCGGTCCACAGTCCAACACTGGGATCTGTTAGAAAGGTGTAGATGATATAGGCTGGGTCTTTGTTCCAGCCTTTCTGAATTATTTGCTCTATGTGTGTAACACCCATCTTGCTTGCTATTGAAATGTTGGTTTCAGGCCTGGGCGCTAATATCTTCTGCATCCTGTCTGGGCTCCGGGCCCTCTCTCACCGCAGAGACTGCAGCCTCCACGTGGTGCGTGTGAGTGACGTGTTCTCACACATCCCCTCAGTGGAGCTTGTTCGGTCCATCCTGACTGCCTTCCCCCGCCTTCACACACTCTCGGTCAGCTTTGATCTCAAAAACCTGCTGGAGGGGAACAGGCCAGAAGGGCATTCGAGCTCGGAGGCAGAAATTCCAGGTAGATTATAGATGCTGACTAGTAAATGAGATCTTACTGTTTGTTTAAAGCAATAAGTTCAACCTCCTTTGCACACAGGGTAAGAGTTCAATCCTTGAGGGGGCCATTTAACGATCTGGGGCAAAAATCTTTCTGGGGATTGGTCCTGCTTTGAGCAGGGGGTTGGACTAGATGACCTCCTCAGTTCCCTTCCAACCCTGATATTCTATGATTCTATGCTTAAGTCCTGGCCCAGTTTGCACTTAGCTAGGTGATCGTGACCATTCCTTTGTGAGTCAGACCTTGCCACAATTTTCTACCGCCAGATTGATTGTGACCTCCAGTCTGTTGTATGCTCTGACATGGCACAACTTTTGAGGGCTCCTGGACAGAACGCCTTTAATTGTGTCACATAAAATACCAAACACAATGTCAGCCCTAACAAGGCCAGGCAGAACCTGTAGTCAGTGCAGAAAGTGGCTGTTGGATTGCTTACCTGTGTGGTCCAGATCTGCTGTGCTGGCTTCCTGTTCACTTGTGTGTGCAATTCATGCTATTGACTAGGATATGTAAGGCCTTATAGAGAGAGGTTGGCTGATGTCAGTCAGAAAAAAAAAAACTGTTCACCATCATGATAGCTGAGATCAAGTGCAAGGCTGTTGCTAAGCCCCGGGATTTCCATGTCTGAGTGCTGTAGCAGGGCAGGGACCCACTGCCTCTTTCAACAGATATGTTGGTCTTCAGGGCATGGCAAAAGGCCCGTTACGTCTACACGATACAGCCTCTGCTGCCATAGTCCCCTAGTGTAGACACAGCCTTCGCTGACAGAAGTTCTTGTTCTGTCAGTGTAGGAATATCACCTCCCTGAATGATGTTAGCTAAGCACTCTTCCGTCAACACAGCTGCCTCTATGCTGGGGGTTTGGTCAGTGTAGCTGTCAGTCAAGGGTGTGGTTTTTTCACACTCCTGATCAACACAGCTATGCTGGTATAACTTTTAAGTGTAGACCAAGCCGCAGGCTTTTGGCTTTGAATGAGATCTGTGAAGAACTGTGTCCTGGAATGAAAGTCTGATTCAGCTATTTGTGGATAAGGGGGTAAAATTTTCAAATGTGACGTAGGTGTTTAGGAGCATAAGTCCTACTGAAAATTAATAAGACTGAGCCGCCTACGTCACACAGGAAAATTTTACCCAAAGTCTGTATATTTATTACTGATCCATGCACCCAGACACTGGTGATGGGTACATTCTACAAAACTTAGTTCCTCCGGGAACCAAATGCATTCATCAAACATTTTTGAGAGAAAGTGTTTGCAGACAAACATCTTTTCCCCCCTCCCTTTAGAGAGCTGCCTGGAACAGTTAGAGATCCGATTCCCCAGAGAACCTCTGCAGACCAGTCTCCTTTGGCCTGTGTTGAAAGCCTCAAGGTCTCTCCAGCAATTGTCCCTGGACAGTGCCACCATTTCCTGTCCCCTGGAGTTTGGGCTCCTTCTGCAGGCACTCAAAGGTAACACAATAAAACTGCGTAGTGAGCTTCTTGGACAAAACATATCATGGTCTCCTGTGAGCAGCTTGTCTAGGGGCCTCCCTGTTCCTCTCCTACCCGTATTGTCTAGGGGGACAGGTGTACACTACAAAGTTTTGTGGGCATAGCTGTCTCACTCAGGTGTGTGGAAAAATTCCACACGCCTGACTGAAATAGCAACGCTGGTCAAAACCCCGTGTAGACACAGCTATGCCTGCAAAACTGTTCAGGCAGGTGGTTTATCTATGGATCTCCTTATGCCGGTATAAGTTGTATCTCCAGTAGGGGGCTCCACCAGCATAGCTGTCTCAGCAAAGCCTTTCTAGGGTGGAGCAGCCCTAACCATGTTGCTTTGGACTGTAAGCGCTAGGTAACATTTTCAAAAGTCCCTAACATACTCAAGTCCCATTTTCAAAAGTGAATTAGGCACCTAAGGGCTTTTGAAAATGTTACTTTTTTTTGTCTCTACGATGCACACACCTGGCGCGATACACGGATACAGAAAAATGGAAAAGGCAGTAGGGATTTTCTTCCCATTTTTGTTTTAGTGAAAATTACCGTGGGGAGTTACTGTATCGCATAAATCTGAAGGCAGAATTTGGCCCTAAATTTGTAAGTTTAAGTACTGTGAATGGTGAGCTGTTACTTATCCAGGACAACCAGCTGAGTGGTTGGGATTTCATTAGCAGGTAGCCCGTCTCTTTTGACACACAGGCACACGATACCTGACCAGTAAGGTTTTGTCCGTCTTGCAGAGTGTAATCCAGGCCTGAAGAGACTGAGCTTCCATGATGTGAACCTTGCTGACTACCAGAAGGAAGTTCTCCTCCTGCTGCAGGACCCTGTCCTTCAAGGTACAGCGAACACCCGCCCACCCACAAGGGCTGCACCACAGACTGCTGGTGGGGCCGAGGTTGGAGTCAATGTGTGATCCCAGGAGTACAGGATTTGTCCAACAGTTTCATTCTCTCAGGAGTGGGAAGGAGATGTGAGAATTGGGAGGAATGAGAACGCAGCTGGGTTGTGGTTAAGGAGCCGTAAAGCTCTGAAGCCAGTCTGCAGTACAAAACAACCGAGTTACGGTCTTGGCTGTTAGACATAACATGCATGGTGCTATAACCTTATAATCAGGTCACATATGATCAGGGTTTTACCCAGGTAACAGAACACCATTAAGGGTCCTGCCTACACTATTCATTTTGAGCATGTTGTAACTAGGTACCTAGTAATGGTGGTTTCAGTTCTTGCACCTTAAACAGGGCCCCCAAAGCGATCTGCAATATGTAATTAAATAATTTACTGACTGTGGTGAGAGAGGCCAAAGATGCATCTATCACTCTGTGTATTTTTTTGGTAGAAATTACATTTTCCTTTTGTCGGCTGTTTGAAAGCTGCACCACTGAGTTTCTATCCGACATAATCCAAATAGTGAAGAGAAATTCAACTCTGAAGAGCCTCAAATTGCCTGGAAACAGACTTGGTATGTACCGTCAATGCAACTATGTGGGCATTCCCTTACACTAGCTCCCTGACAGCGAACTATCAGGATAGTAGTCAGAGCCATTGCTGACCAACTTCTACCACTGAGTTAAACACAGCAAGTATTAGTGGAATGAATATTTTTTCATGGAGGTAGATCGGGCATTCCAGCCATGTGCTGCATTGTACAATTATCCAGGTTTCCCCCTCTTTCTCTGAAGCACTAGATTTTGGCCACTGCCAGAGATGGGATTCCAGCTGTGGAAGATTAATGGCCTGATTCTAGAATAGCTAGAAATAAAGCGGATAGCACTAGCTCTAGCCAGGTGTACTATGCAGACACTCTGCCTCTGAAACCGACTGCATCGGCTTACTCAATGCAACTTCGATCTTTCTAAAGTTACAGGTTTCTTTAATGATTTCCTACACAACCTTGTTGCTTTAGTAATGTTCAGGTAACAGTTAAAGGTGTAAAAGCAGCAAGGAGTCCTGTGGCACCTTATAGACTAACAGACGTATTGGAGCATGAGCTTTCGTGGGAGAATACCCACTTCGTCGGATGCATGTAGTGGAAATTTCCGAAGAAGTGGGTATTCACCCACGAAACCTCATGCTCCAATACATCTGTTAGTCTATAAGGTGCCACAGGACTCTTTGCTGCTCTTACAGATCCAGACTAACACGGCTACCCCTTTGATAGTTAAAGGTGTAGTGAGGATGAGGAATTGAATGGCTCAGTGGACTTGTAATGGACCCATCAAACCTCTCTCACTGCTAGGCCCCCCCCAGTCTGAATGAGCCCAACATTCATAGCGACTTTCACGCTTTGCTGTTTGGTGGTGGTTGATGGCAGCCCAGTTTCTAGTAGTAATGGGCCAGCACTGAAGCTGCTTGAGTCCCTTGGTGCTGCGCCTCCCTCCGTCCTTTGACACTTTCTGTGGTTGCAGCTTCACATGTCATTTGTGTTTTCCCATCATTAGGGAATCACAGGTTGGTTGCCTTGGCTGACATTTTCTCTGAAGATTCATCCTCTTCCATCTGCCAGTTGGACGTCAGGTATGCTGCTGCCTCACCATAGTACTCTCCAGTCACGTCCCTTCTTAAACTTCCATGCTCCAGGCAGCAGGGTAAATCCTGAGCATAGTTCTGTTCACTAGCTGAGCTGATACCACTTCAACTAAGATTATGTTTTAGGGAACACCTTGCTGCCACTACCCAGGATTTGAGCATTCTCAAAGGTAGGTATCCCTGCATACACCGTAAGGGAAGAAAAAGAAATACGAACTTCTTTCATTGTGGAGCATCTAAGCCCCACTTTTAAATGGCTAGGAATGAGTTTAATAACGAAAGCACCAATGCTTGTTCAGTTGCTTGCCACCTGGTGGGAGAATGGATGGAACAGCTCAGCCCTTTATAGAGGCAGAATATAACCAGCTCTTACGCATGACCTGTCTCCATCTGATACAGTCAAGCTGTTCGGTATCTACTGCCTACCATTATTACGGTGATGCTTGAGAATAAGCACATTCTTTCCCCCTCAAATGAATCTTAACTTGTAGGCACCTAAGGTCTTAACTGCATTTTACTCTTTGTTTTACCTCCTTAAAGCTCAAATTGCATCAAGCCGGACGGGCTCCTGGAGTTTGCAAAGAAATTGGAGAGCCACATCCTGCAGAGAGGCGGGCAGATCAAGTTTACCCATCTCCGCCTCTTTCAGAACTGGTTGGACCAAGATGCTGCAACTGCTCAAGAGGCGCTTCGGCGGCTCAGAGCTGTGTGCAGCGTGGTCAGCAACACATGGGACTCTTCGCAGGCCTTTGCTGACTACATTAGTGTGATGTAAAGAGCGCCCAGGAACTGCTATAAGATCGATAGCGATAGCTTGAAATAAAGTTGTACAGAACAGTGCTCCCACAGACTTTGACACTGCTGTTCACATTGTGTGCAGGAGCAGGCCCAGCTGGGATAAGAAACTAGTGTACAGTACTAACAAAGTAGAGGCTCTTATACCCCTCGCCCCCAAGCAAGGTAGAATTGATCATGCCACTTTCATAGTGCAAATGGGGAAACAAACTCCGCAACAGTGAGGTTCTAGACGAAAGGGATAAAGAAGGGGGAGGGAGGAGTATGTTACCTGATTCTAGCCCACTGAACACGACACATTTAAAACAACATTCTTGTTCACCTTACAGACTCTGAGGACTTTAAGCTGCAGTTGAATGGTTATTAATGTCTGCTGGAATCTTGCAGTTACTGAGCATTCGAGGAGCAGCTCTGGGTCAATCTTTCATTTTGTGCTTGGAACACAAACTACCCTGAACACACTCACCCTCTCACACTTGTGACTAGAAAATAAAAAGCTAAACCAAGCCAATGCACTGGCCCGTCTTATTTGTGGCAAATAGAGCTTCCCCCTTGCAAGAGACACTTCAGTACAACAAAAAACTTTTGCTTGCAACCATTTTACCCTTGGAGAGAAGTCCTTTCTTAGGCCCTGCTTTCCTTAACTTGTATTTATTTAATATTTTATAAAAATGTTTTAAACAGAACAGTTTGCTTGTCCTTCAGCAACTTTATTTTATAAAATGTAGTTGAGTAGAAATTTTGGTACATTAGGGACTATTCTTTTACTGCATTGTCGAAAGATGATCTTGCTAAAAATGATACCAACACAAATTAGAGAGTTGTTTCCGCCGTGATTTTAATAGGGCCTGACTGATGCACTTTCTGAAAATCAGGCCCTTTGGAGGTGTCTCAGATTGGGCCATCCAGAAGCACAAGTCATTTAGACCAAGATTTTCAAAAATGCCTTAAGTTGGATTGCTCTGGAGATGAATGATTATATTTCCCAGAGTTGTCTACTAAAGGTCAACTCTGCCAGCTGATTCCAGATCTCATCAGTGCCCGTGCATTCAGTATCTAGCCTGCAAATTGTGGCTCCGAGAAAAAATCTTGAGTGGGTGGTAGTTGCACATGGAAAACCAGACCTGCAGCCAGGAATTAACCTACACCTGAAGATGGAGCTAGCTTGTTTGTAATGGGACTTAGGTAAATAAAAAGACGATACAAATTGCGAACTGGATCTTGCATGTGCTCTCACAGATGCAGAACTGGTTATGTCCTGATGCTATTACAATAGATCCTAGGTTAGACTGAAGCACATCACTACACAAACCAAACAGCTGTTTCTCCAGTACACATTATAGACACAAGAGTGGCACGGATAATACCTTGTGCTTGCTGCTGTCCCAAGCACAGTTTAACAATTTTCAAGACCTACCAATTTCTTGGTGGAAGAAAACAGAACGTTGTCCTGCTGTTCTGGATCCAGATAACAGCACAGGCTGCATTGTTATCAGACCCCTGCTTTGAAAGTGATTGAAGTGGGCTTGACTGACTTCCATAGGAGCCTTCCCTCATCCCCACCATCAGAGGCACATTGTCAGGGAATCCCTCGCTGCTCCTCATGGGAATGGTGATGGAACGTGAAGGTGACAGCAGCATCCCACGTGGCCTTCAGCACAGAGTCCTGAAGCCCACGCTTGTCAGCACAGTGGTTCCACTGAGAGAGGTCAGAGGTGCAGTCAGAACCTTCAGGAGGCGGCTTTACCTGGTGGCCATTCACACAGCGGCGACACTTAATCCTATAACACAAAGATGTTCTACAGGTGAGGACCAGGGCACGTTCTACACCTGCTGGGCTAGGTACAGAATCCTGGCGTTTCAGATTTGGGCGAAAGGGTGTACAATTAATGGAGATTGCATAAACAAAGAATGCACTTCATCAACATTGGGGTTAGCCTGCTCCCATTTGTCTTTAACAATTGGTGCAACAAAAAGCCCATGCAAAATCAAGTGTCTAATCTGCGTGCACGCGTACTAGAACAGCGTGTGCAAATAACCGGAGACATGTAACTGGTCATTTAGAATTTTTGGTTACCATGATTCCATTTGGAAAATCTGGGTTTTTATTTCCAAAGCACCCTAGGCTCCCCACGTGAACGTTTATACATACAATGAAAGCGTTATAACAAAATCCATCCAAATTCAAAGTCGGGCAAATCGTGGGAAAAGAGGTGAACTACATGGAGCCAGCAGTGGCTCCAAAGGGAGTTGAGAAAGTGCTTCATTTAGAAGGTGAACAATATTCTCTTTAGTTTACTCAGAGCAGTAAGACCTCAAACCTAATCACCCGTAAAATCCTAGTTCAGAAACAGAGCATGTGTGTAGACTTGAATTACAAGTCAGTTTAGAAAATCCTCCTTTTCCATTCCAGGACCTAAATACTTTGGTAATTCCCTTGCATCACCTAAGGACATCACTATCTCTCTCAGCCCAGCACAGCTGTTTTAAGTGGTTATGGTGCAGTGGGTTTTAAATAAGGAATCCTGAACTCAGGACTCGGCAGGACACAGGAAGGATCTAATTTTCATACATTTACATGAGGTTAATTGTCAGTTTGCATATAAAGCATCACTACCTATGGCAATGAACATCTACCGGCCTCCCAAGGGAAGTGGTGGAGGCCCCACTGTGCATTTAAAACCAGACAAATCATTCGTTAAATGCACAGTGGGGAACAATCTTGCAGTGCTGGGGGGGGGAGGGGGTAGGAGCAGATGATCCAATAGGGATTGTCCATCGCTGGACTTTCTGTGCTTGAAAAGCTTTGGGAAATTAAAAATAACTTTCCCTTCCCCGCAATATCTTACAGCCTCTCGCCCTCCCGAGGATGGAGGTGGATGCATCAGCAGGGGTGGTTTGAGTACTTGTCTGATAATAGAAACTTCCATAATAAAATGAGAGGGTGAGTAGGAAGTGTCAGTTTCCTTATGAATAATGGAGTGTTGGAAATAGAAGTCCATCCTAGACATTCACCTCTTCTATCTCCCCATCAACAGAGAGGAAGATAGTCACGTGCTTAGGGCACTAGCCTAGGATGTGAGTGTCCCAGGTTTAATTCCCTGCTCTGACACAGATTTCCCATGGGACCTTCAGTTAGTCACTTAGCTTCTTTGTGCCTCAGTTTCCCCTCTGTACAATGAAGATAATAGCCCTGCCCTGCCTCACAGGGGTGTTGTGAGGATAAATCCATTAAAAATCATGAAGTGCTTTGAAATCTACTAATGAGACACTCTGTGTAATATAATTATCTTCCTGCTGCACCAGCAACTTCTGAATCAGCAGATCAATAACTTCACAAAGTGGTTCTCAGCAAACCAGAGCACGTGTGTCTCCACCTACAGCCTCTGTGTCAATCACGAAGTCAGCCACTGTTTATGCCATGGTCACTGGCTACCCTAACCCATCACTGGGTTTATAAACATACTTGTCATGGGTATCGCTGGCTGTGGTCTCATTCAATGTGAACAGCTCCTTCAGCTCCCCTAGCGAGAAGTGCCTCTCCACATCCTGCTCCTCATCCACCACGCAGCTGCTGAGTGCCTTCTTGTGGGTCTGACGTTGGAAAATCTTCTCCTCAATTGTCCCTGTCTATGAGAGAGAACGGCCAATGGGATTAAGCGCAGCATGGAGAAGGCTAAAGCTGGGGATCTGGCCAGGATGCTGGGATTAAGCCTTTATCTGTATAAAAAGTACCATGAGGTCTTTACTGGCCATAAGTGCTCAGAGCCTCAATTCCACCTTCTTCCCGAAGGTAACTCCTCCAGCTGCCCAGAGCCACCTTGCTAGGGGCACAGGTTCAGTACAGAATCCAAGGAACGCATCATCACCACTACTTCATGCAGTGCCCTCAGTGCTCCAAGCACTGACCCAGCCCAATCCCGTTTATTTTGCAACATGTGACATGCTCACATCATGAGCTGAGGCAGCCGCAGGCTGTAGTAAAGAGGCGACATGCAGGAAAACCAGGGTACACAACTGCTACACCATGACAACAGTGTTTGAATTCCTGCTAGAGATTCCCCTTCAGGGAACTTTCCCCGACAGCGGCATGGCCCCAAGGCCCCTGCTGGGGGAACGCAGTGGCTGAGAAGGGGAACGCTGCGTCACAGGGGCAGCCGACGGAGGAGAGGGAGTGGTTAAAGCTCTGAATATGGACTCGCAGATTCTGTCATCAGCCCAGTTAGTATGGCAGTCCTGAGCCTCGTGGGCTGCGGCGTCAGAGCTGCACAGATACCCCTGACGACAGGCACATAGGAATTCCAACACCCTTTCAACGGGAGGGAGGGGGGCTCGCTCATAACCACCAATGGGAGCACATCTACAGGAGCAGCTGTAGGGTTCTGCAATAATGACGGGAACATGGTGCCCTGCCAACAGCCACGTCTCTACCTTGCCACAAAAGATTAATGTCCTATTTATAAAGCTTCAGTCACTTCTATTTCCCCATAAGCCAGCCACCATTAAAGAGCCAGGGCCCAAAAGCAATCCCATTGAAATCAGTGGCTACGCTCTCATTGGCTGCACTGGCAGACCATTTGAAGCCTGATGTCATCGAGTGCAATCCACGCCACTAAAGGGTTCTAAGCCACAGCGTCTCTTTCCAGTTGCAAGGTCAATTATTCTGCAGTATAATCAACTGCAGACTGGGCTATCCCCCACGTCCCGACACGGTTAAAAGGAGGTAACTCCGGACTCACTGAGAGCAACCTGTAGATGTAGCAAGTCTTCTTCTGGCCGTCTCGCCACACGCGAGCCATGGCTTGTTCGTCATTGGCCGGATTCCAATCCGGGTCGAACATGATGAGTCTGTTTGCCCCGATCAAGTTCAAGCCGCAGCCACCTGCTTTGCTGCTCAACATGAAGACAAACTCAGGGCTCTGTGGGGCAAGACATACTTAGATTAAATCCCTGCCAGCTGTCACATGATCACACCTGCTAAGCCTGGCAGGACCAATGATGTGGGTCTGGGAAGCTCTACTTACCGAGAGGCTGTTAAACCGCTCTACGATCTTTGCTCTCTTTTTAATGGACATGGTGCCATCCAGTCGGACATATAAATACCTGGCACAAGACAACACAATGGTTAATGGGATCAGATCATCATAGCCTTTTAATAGCCCTGGTTTTACAATGATAAAACCCAAGATGAACAGAAACAGTTCTGCAAATGGCCTTGTGTTTGAGTGCCAGGCTGTAGGCTCCTATAGAAACGGACAGAGCTGTTCTGCTGACTCACCCTGGAAGCCAGACCAGATGGGTCACATTAGTTCCATTTCCAGGGCCTCCCTTTGAGGCTAGAATTCAGAACAGGAGGTCCTGCAGGGAGAAACCTCAAAAACAGCCACCTCAGGCTAAGGTTTATATTGCAAGTATAAAGAACAAGGAGTCTGGTGGTACCTTAAAGACTAACAGATTTATTTGGGCATAAGCTTTCATGGGTAAAAAAACTCACTTATCAGTTAAGACCAACGACAAACCTCCTAGTCCTGCAGAGCTTCTCAAAGAGGTCCAGTGTTTGGGTGTAATTGGAGACCAGGACTACCTTGTCGTTGCTAGTGCTTCTAGTCACAGCCAGGATGTAGTCCAACACCAGCATCTTTCCTGGAAGGAAGAAAAGTTAACATGTTAAAAACATCCCATTGCC